GTCTGAGCAATTCCTTGCACCAAGTCTCCAAGATCTTCCCAAAATTTCTCCTTCGAACTCGTATCCAACCCTACTTGAGGTGCGTACGCACTAATCACATTGATAAGTTCTTTGTCCTATTACAATCTTGATTGCCATGATTCTATCTCCTACCCTCTTGAGATCTACAACATCTTGTACCAAGGTCTTGTCCACGATGATGCCAACACCGTTTCTCGTTCTATTTGTGCCCGAATACCAAAGTTTAAACCCTGAGTTTTCTAGATCCTTTGCCTTACTACCAACCCACTTAGTTTCTTGTAGGCACATAATATTTATCCTTCTCCTCACCATAACTTCCACTACTTCCATAGATTTTCCCGTTAAGGTTCCTATATTCCACGTTCCTAAACGCATTTTGCTCTCTTGAACTCTACCCTTCTGTCCTAGCTTCTTCACCCTCCCCCGTCTAATAGGATCAAAGTACTTCTTTTGTGTGTCCCGGGTAAAGTTGATAGGAGCATATGCTCCCAAACAACTTTGAGTGGAGTCGTTCGAAAAGAAGTTTCTATGGCCCCCTTGCTCATTTAACACTGCATCCGGGTGCCGATGGAGATACAGCGACCCTTGCTCACTTATCACTGTGCTCGGGCCACACAGCGCGCCACTTACGGGTGACGCCCTAGCTTTAGCGCGATTTTGTTCTGGATTCATTTTCATAAGGATTCGACGTGATCATGGAGTGCCGGCTGTCGACTACCTGACGCCCTCCCCCTCCTCCTTTATCCGGGCTTGGGACCGGCCATGTAAGACATAGGCGGAGTTCTTTACTAGATTTCACCCAACCTTTTATAATTGAAAGTGATGCATCTGGTTATGGCATTGGAGCTGTTTTGCAACAAAATGGCAAACCTATTGCATTTACCAGTAAAGCATTGAGTGTGAGGAATCAATCATTATCTGCTTATGAAAGGGAGATGATGGCTATATTACATGCAATCAAGAAATGGCAATCTTACCTTGTGGGCAGACACTTCATCATTAAAACAGACCACTATAATTTGAAGTTTTTTATGCAAAATAGGGCTAACACTCATTTTCAATAGAAGTAGGTGTCTAAACTATTGGGTTTTGATTATGAAATCCAATATAAACAAGGATGTGATAATCAAATAGCTAATGCCTTGTCCAGAATTCCTCTAGATGTATCTGTTGTTCAATCAAGTCCTGCAATAGATCAGTTAGAACTCTGGCTATTTCCTACCATTATCTTAGCTGGATAGATGACTTGAGAAGGAACATTGAACAAGACTCTTGGATCTTGGCAAAAATTCAAGAAGTGAAGAATGTCTTAGATTCATCTCCATTGACTCTGTTAAAATACAAAGTCGACAATGGTTTTCTCAAACACAAGGATATAATTGTATTAAGTCCCAACAGTACTTGGAGACAACTTGTGTTTGAAGAACATCATAGCAGCCCTTCTGCAGGTCACCCTAGATTTTTGAAGACATATAAAAGGCTTTCAAGGTCATTCTATTGGATAAAGTATGAATGGCGTTGAAAGCCTTTTATATGTCTTCAAAAATGGTCGCAAATTGTCGCACTTGACACACTTGACAATTTGCGACCATCCTGCTGCAAAAGTATGAAAGTATGAAACTTGTCTAGTGTGTCACTACGGGTTTAATTTAGCCACTACCAATATAAATGGTCGCAAATTGTCAAGTGTGTTAGCAGCAAAAGTATGAAACTTTAGCCCCTGCGGGTTTAATTTAGCCACTACCAATTCCTTCATGAATCTGGACTGACATATCAATGGACTTCATAGTGGGATTGCCTCCTTGTCAAGGTAAAATAGTTATATGGGTGATCATTGATAGACTATCCAAATATGCCCAATTTCTAGCCTTATCTGATCCATTCATGGCAGCATCAATAGCTAATCTCTTTGTGGAACATATTTTCAAGTTACATGGAATGCCTGCTTCTATAATATGTGATAGGGATCCATTATTCATGAGTGCATTTTGGAAAGCATTTTTTACACTACAAGGATCATCATTGTGTCACAGCTCAGGGTACCACCCTCAAACGGATGGACAGACAAAGGTTGTTAATCGATGTCTAAAGACTTAACTAAGATGTTTTTGTAGTCTCCAACCTAAAAAGTGGTCTCTCTGGTTACCGTGGGCTGAATGGAGCTATAATACAGCCCTTCATTCTGCTACAAAAATATCTCCATATGAAGTAGTGTACGGACAACCTCCTCTGCACATTCCGGTGTATGAAGCGGGAACAACTAAGCTGGAAATGGTTGACAGGAGTTTATTGGACCAGAATAAGATGATGTCCTTGTTCAAATCGAATTTAGCAGCTGCTCAGAAAAGAATGATAGTTTAGGCAAACAAACACAAGACTGAAAGGGTTTTCCAGGTGGGGGATTTGGTATACTTGCGGTTGGTTCCTTATCAACATCTATCCTTGGCTTCTCATCATTTCCATAAGTTGTAGCCTAGATTTTATGGTCCATTTGAAATTCTGGCAAAAGTTGGTCCTGTTGCTAAGTTACGCCTTCTTGACACATCCAAGTTGCACCCTGTGTTTCATGTTTCTTGTTTGAAGAAACATTTGGGACCAAATATTCAACCTACTGTACCCTTACCAGTAATTACAGATGATGGGATTTTACAGGATGCACCAATTGCAATATTGGATAGAAGGCTGGTCAAGAAGGGGAATGTAGCAAGCACTGAGGTTTTGCTCTAATGGCAAAATCACACGGCTAAAGAAGCTACGCGGGAGGTTTATGCAGATTTGAAGAATCGATTCCCTTCAATTGCTCAAATGTCATTACTTGTATTGCAGACTTTATGGTTTACAGATTCAATGTACTGTCTTTTGTGTTGTTTTAAGTCTTGTTGTACAAGCCTCATTTCAAGGGAGGGTATTGATAGGATGCTGACTAGGATGATGTGTCAGCATTATCAAATTGGTTAATTGGTTAGTTGGTTAGTTGGTTAGATGGTTATAGTAAGAGATAAGGTTGTTAGTCAGTCTCTTAGTAGCTAAGTCGGCTTAGTTACTATATAAGGAGATTGTAAGAAGGATGAAAGGTTGGTGAATGAAAAGTATATTGTAGTATTACACTGTATCAATACATCGAGCAAGACGTGAAGCCTGGGTCTTATCATACTCAAACATGATGAGCTCCGGTGAAGTCGAAAATTCTTGAGATTAAATGCAGTTGAGGCACCGTTTATTCTGCAGCAAGAAGCCAATTCTGCTTTTAACCCACTGTCTGTTCGAAGTGAAATCACCACCGAGTTATATGATCCTGTTAAAGTTCGGACACCTGACAACCTGTCACCTACTAACAAATCCCCCTTTTTCTTTTTTTTTTTCTCTTTCGTTTTCCTTTTATATCTATGCATGCCATATAACTAATCTTTTGCATGCCATACCTTTTGGCCGAGATCCCAATTCGGTGGGATTCCTCTTGTTGCATACCATCTTCCAATTTTATTTGTTTTGTCTCACCGAACGACAACCTTACCGATTGAAAAACAAAATCTACGCCACGTGAAGGTCTACTATCTAAAATGGGTGGCCGTCCTTGTTTCGATCTCCAAGCTCATAAAAGTATTTTCACATGATAATCACTACAATAATAGTTGTTAGAAGAAATATTAAAATCCAACCGACTCAATTAAGCAAACCTATAGTGGAAAACCGAGTTCAAACAACACTAGTAGAATAATCATTAAAAATAGGGTAAAAAACTGTTTACTACCCTCATGTTTTGTAATTTTCAACATTTAGTACATCAAGTTTTTTTCGTCTTAGATTCATACCTAAAGTGTAAATTTTGAGACAGTCTCATACATCCGTTAGTCAAACTGTTAAGTCTCCCGTTAACTGTGACGTGGCGCACTGACTGGGCGCCACATGTCATCCACGTTTTTTTTTTTTTTTTCATTTCTTACTTTTTCTTCCTCCTTCTTCCTCCTTCCTCCCCCTTATTCCTTCTTCTTCCTTCTCCTTCTTCTTCTTCTTCCTCCGAAATCTGGGGAAGTTTGTTTTTTTTCTTTCTTCTTCTTCTTCTTCTTCTTCTTCTTCTTCTTCTAAAAAAAATTTCATCTTCCCCCAGATTTGAAAAAGGAAGAAGGAGAAGAAGGGGAAGGAAGAAGGAGAATAAGGAGGAAGAAAAAAAAAATTGAATATGGGCAGATTCGGAGGAAGAAGAAGAAGAAGAAGAAGAAGAAGAAGGAAGAAGAAGAAAAAAAAGAAAAAAAAGAAAAAAAAAAGAAAAAAAAGAAAAAAAAGAAAAAACTGAATCTGGGTAGATTCGGAGAAAGAAGAAGAAGAAGAAGAAGAAGAAGAAAAAGAAGAAGAAGAAGAAGGAAGAAGGAGGAAAGAGAAGGAAGAAGAAGAAGACGAAGAAAAAAAAAAAAAAAAAAGCTTCCCCAGATTCGGAGGAAGAAGAAGGAGAATGAGAAGGAAGAAGAAGAAAGAAGGGGAAGAAAGGGAAGGAAGGAGGAAGGAAGGAAGGAGGAAGAAAAAAAAAAAGTTGCAGTCGAAGGAAGAAGAAGAAGAAGGAAGAAGAAAAGAAAAGAAAGAAAAAAAAAACGTGGATGACACGTGGCGCCCAGTCAGTGCGCCATGTCACGGTTAACGGAAAACTTAACAATTTGACTAACGGATGTATGAAACTGTCCCAAAATTTACACTTTAGGTATGAATATGAGACGAAAAAAATTTGATGTACTAAATGTTGAAAACCACGAAACATGAGGGTAGTAAACAGTCTTTTACCCTTAAAATTATATAGATATTGACTTAATCCTATTAACTGATGTACAATTAATTAAGTGAAAAATCTATTGTTTGGATCTAAGAAAAAAAAATCATCATTAGCGTCAAACGTCGGTTATATAAGTGAAAGACATCGGTTTTTAGCATGCATACTCTCTCAAACAATTCACAGCAAGCAAGCTAGTGAAAGAAAGAGAAAAACAACAATGGTGCCAGAATTGCCAAGGTATGTGGTGTTACAATCAAGGTACAATGCCAAATACTTGAGCTACGTAAAAGAAGATGATAAGATCCATGACTTTCTCAAATTCTCCGAAGAAGAGGTGGTGAGTCTGTATGCAAAGTTCCATGTAGAGATGGCAAAGAGTAGTGGAGCTACTAAGGGACTGGAGCACATAAGATGCTGCTACAACAATAAATACTGGGTCAGGAGGTCGCAAACCCATAATTGGATCGTCGCCGGCGCTGACGAACCCCAGGAGGATGAATCCAAATGGTCATGCACCTTGTTCGAGCCAGTCTACGTGGACGAACACAATTCTGCTCAAGACGTCCGTTTTGGTCATGTCCAGCTTCAGAACTATGCGTGCTTATGGTGCAATGACCCACCCTACAAGTCCTGCTTAATTGCAGCAAGTGGGGCCAGCAGCGAGTTGTGCGATGCATGTTTGATCGTTGATTGGGAGTCGTTGTTGGTATTGCCCAAACATATAGTTCTCAAGGGAAACAACAGGAAGTACCTCAACACAGGTGGATCTGGCAACACCCTTACTTGCAGTTCTCGTCTGATGACATTGGAGATCCCACAGTGGTGAATGAGGTTTCCACATTGGGGATGGAAGCGTTTGCATAAAATCCGATCGCTATGGAAAATTCTGGAGGCGAAGCCCTAACTGGATATGGACAGACTCAGAGCTTCATGACAATGAGAACAACAAGGACATGTTTTGGCCTGTCAAGCTTGACGGTAAATTTTTGGCTCTCCGCAACTTAGGTAACAACTTTTTTCTGCAAGAGTCTTACCACGGAGGGGAAACATAACTGTCTCAACGCTGCCGTCCCCACCATTACCCAAGAGACACGCTTGGAACTGGAAGAAGTGGTTGTGTCGAGAAGCATCTACAATGTCAACTTTCGCGTCTTGGATGCGAGGGTCTATAACCAAAGAGTTGTCACCATGGCCACGGGAGCCGCCATTAACCTAACAAATGAACAAAACACAGTAGACATGAAGCTCTCGTACTAGGATATTAGGAGCAGTACTTGGAACACAAGCCTGTCATTCAAGTCAGGCATCAGGACCACCTTGGAAGCCAGAATTCCTTTAATTGCTGTTTGGGCCTGCCGAGCTTAAAGTCGTTCTTGGTCCTGTAACATTCATCTAGAATCTTATCATGGGCTGCTCAGTCAAGGTCGGTCGAATCCTATTATGAAGAGGATTGGTTTAGATAAGGGTGAGGTAGTCAAACCCTAGTGCAAATAATGAGTCTTAAAGGCTTAAAGCTAATGATGCTTAGAATTAGGGGATGAATCTGGTTCGTTAAGGAGTTTGGTTCAAAGTCCTATAAGGGTTAGGATTGGCCGAAACTTGATCAGATTGGCATGAGGAGTTCTAATCCAAATGAACCTCTAGTTCGGCCATAAGGGGGTTCACTGCTATAAATAAAGAAGGGAGTGCATCATTCAAAGCCCCTTCAAATCAACACAAAAATTGACATGCCCTGATCCCGATATTCCACGAACATCAGGATAGGCACGTGTTAGCCAACTTATCTTGCTACAATTCATCACCATCATATCGTACTCTAGTAGACCTTTTCGATGATGTGTTGTGTTCGCCTCAACGCAGCTTTCCACTATCTCGCACCAGGATCATTCGATTCGCGAGCACATGGGCGTGAGGTTTGAGCAATCTTTTAGTAAGAGTTAGATGAATGTTTTAGTACAGAAGGTCAGCGGATTATATCACTATCTTACTATAATTCATAGGCATCACATCGGTTCTTTTCCAACGATATGTGTTCGTCTCAACGCATCTTTCCACTGTTTCACTACCGAACCTTATTGTTGTGAGTATGTGGATGTCGAAACACTTCTAGCAGATCTATTTGGTGACTCTAGAATGGCACCACAGTGCGGTCAAGGCGAGAATAGGAAGATCTTTACACTTTTCTCGAATGGTGTGTGCTCTTTCGAGGTTTTTAGATTGATCATTTGTGAGTTCTTCTTCTTTCCACCAACATTGACCTTATTTGACTAGAATTATGCAACTAAGCAAAAATGGAGAGGTGGTTTGAGCACTGCAACAACTCCCTAGAGATACTGCTTGTTCAGGAAGACGACTTCTCGTTTTCTGCTTGCTTGGCTCGAGCTTTTGGGTATGCTACTAACATGGTAGCCACTTCTCTTGAATCGCAAGGTACAGTTTTCAAATAAGTTATTCGTTGGCAAAACACTGGAGTAGTTGGACACATTTGGAAGAACTGAGGAGGATAGGATGCTTAGTGCTGGATAAAGTTTTACAACGACAATTTCTGTTTTGTTCGGTTTGAGTATGACGATTTTTACGACGTGATACGAGAGTTTTCTACATGCAACATTGGTTGGCAGAGGTGTATTGTGAATTGGTATTTAGAGGATCGAATTTACGACTTGTGAAATTGTGCACCCTTAGGAAATTACTGCTTACTTATCGAGACGACAAATGTGTGATCGATAATTCGGGCGGCCGACTGTGATATCAATAACTTATTCATTGGGTTCGACAAGCGAGTGGGCAGGAAGACTCGTTTACGGCAGCTGTCACGGAATTGTTATTCTTGGGACTCAAACCAAAGACACATCTATTCTGGGAGTATGTGAAGTACGAATGCTTGGGCGAGACCCAATCTCATTTTTTCAGTTTTGGTTTTCAATATAAGTATTTTAACTTCCTTTACTTTAGTTTTTTGTTTTAGATGTTGTTTTGGGAGAAATATTTCCATTTTCAATTTTAAGTTCAGCACGAATTTTCGACCTATATGTTAGTACATATCTATTTTGACGTTATCGTATTTTATGTACTTACTTTTGACCTTAAGCTATTTTGTGTTTTCAACCTTATATCTTATTAACGTATGTTTCTACTTTTACATTGATGGGGAAGAAAGTAAGAGCTTGGAGGCATGATAGAGGATTTTGCAACCCGCTCGCGACGGCGTGGCATATTCTCTTTGAAGCACCCACTTTGACTTGATTTCTCTTTATACATATATTCTTCTTCCTATTTTCGAGTAGTTTAGCTTAGTAAGTGATTTTAAATTTCGGGATGAAATTCTTTTAAGGGGGGGGTAGATTGTAACAAACCGTCCCGGGATTTTCTTCGTTTTGCTCAAGGACTAGCAAAAGCTAAGTGTGGGGGTATTTGATTAGCTCATATTTATATATATTTTACATCAAATTCACTTGTCTTTTCTTAGTTAGTTCCTTATATTTTTGAGCTATTTACTTTGTTTTTGTGTTTTCTAGGATTTGTCAAGCAAAGAAAAGAAAAATAGCACAAGTGGGATTTTAAGTAACAAATTCGTTAAAACTGCTTGTGCAGGTCAGCTGACTTTGGAAGCAAGTTGTGAACATATCAAAATGAATTAGAGAATGAACCTTATATTCTTGGAAAGCTACGGATGTCTATTTTCTGGAGCATTTCACATATTGTTAATATCATTTTTCTAGAAGAAGTTATGGCCGTTTTAACACTGAAAGGTTCACAAGAGACTGAGCAGTTTGTAACTGCAATGAAAGCAATAAACCCAATAAATCTAGCAGCCAAAACTGATGCAGCCAAGAACAAGCCAGCTGACACCTATTCAAATAACAGAGGAAATGAAAATAAAGATGAGGATTAAGTGGGAGTAATTGGCATAAAGGCTACCCAAAGAATTACAATTGTTTTACCATTTCCTCTCACTTATTGCCATCACTAAATGGCTGTTAGTAGGTGAGTTAAGGAGAAGAAAATGGGGCAGCAAGTTAAAAAGGGAAAAGGCTGCAGGTTGCAGGGTTGAAAACAGAAGAGAAGGGAAAAAAAATAGAAAAGAAATAGGACAAGGCAGCTTTGCGGAAAGGAAGGAAAGGAAGGAGGAAATCTTGGTATTCTCTTCCCTCGGTTTTATCTTCTCAAACTCATGTCTTTCTTTTGGTTTTATTTGATAATAATGTGTAACTAAATTTTTAGTAGTTAGGGGTTGTTTTGAAGCCCCGAATATGATTGCAAGTTTGTTATGACATTTTGTTTGAATTACTTTTATGAATGAATGAAAATTGATTCACTACTTGTCTCATTGATGAATTCTTTATGTGTATTCTACGGATGCATACTTAGTAAGCATATATAGGATTCTAACGCTATGAATATGTGTGTGCCTACCCTTGTCGAATAAGGACCTACATATGTTCTAGAGTAGTACTTGTTAATTGCGATTAACATGTGAACCAATTTCTAGGATAAGTAAGACAACGCCAGTACTTACGATGCCTTGTGATGACTCAAACTCTTTTGTTCTTAATGATTTCTACTTGTTAAATCTATGAACATGCCATTCTAGATTGCATGCTAGGGACTAAGTTAAGTTGAAAACGTCATTCTTTTAACATACTAAATAAGAAAGAGTAATAGGTTGAGTTCTAACATTAAGCCAACTTGAGTATCTTCATCCTGAAATAAAAGGAATTTGAATGAAACATAACATGTTTGCATGATTATTTGGTGGTGGATAGCAATTCCCCTAACTCGTTTTTCTTAATTTGTGAACTATTAAAAATTTGTTTCTGTCATGTTTTTGTTCAATTTAATTTAAATAGCAAATCAACTCCAAAAATCCTAAACATTTGTGTGAGTGTAGCTCTGTGTGTCTAGTGTGTTCATATAAAATTTCGTAGACTTTAGATAAGTGTAAGTTGGTCTAATAATTATATTTTGGTGGCTGGTTAGTAGGGACAACAAACAATTTTTGTGACATTTTAAGTAGTTAGACAAAACAATCTTCTACGGGAAAGACCCTTATTTTCATATGCTACAATTGACAAATCTTAGTGTTAATAAAGAAAATCAATAGGACATTTGTGTGCTACTTTGTGGTGTGCTTTTAATCTTATCACCCATTCCCTTAAAACCCCTAAGCCCAAATCCTAAACCCAATTCCCTAAAGCCCTAAACCCAACCCACCTAAAAGTCTAAGTCTAAACCCTTTAACCTTTCAAAACCCTAAACCATTAATCCGGAACCCCTCATAGGCTAATTTCGACGTCCTAGACCCGTTTTTGAAGTCCGTTTTCCCAAATTCAATCGTTTGAGTATAGTTGGATTAATTGGACCCTTTATGTGCTTAGGGGCAATTATTGTGGCGTTTCCGTGTTTGCTAGTGGCTCTTCAGCGGCTAAGTATCTGTGAGTGGACCCCTTCTAAAATGCATGTTTTAATAGTAGAAATGTATACATGAAAAGCATGATTTAATGATTACGTTTTATGAAACGTTTTATGAGATAATTTGCTTACTGAGGCTAGATTGAATTACTACTATTTTTCCTATAACCCGTGTTCTTATAAAATATCTGATGGATGACGATATGATATTTAGAACATGTTTAGAACACCTCTTTATAGTATAGATGATGGATGACTTTATACTATGAAATTGTTTTTCAATATATGTATGTTCAATGGTTTTGTACTTACCTAGTGGTCCTTATTTCGTTGCGGGATGTAAGGATAGATTTTGGTCCGTCCCGGGCAACGGTTTGGTGTTGGCATATAGCCTGGAGTGTGTTTCCTCTGACT